AACAGAAAGATTTTGACGCCATGTGTCAAAAACTCAGTCAAGCGTAAAATGATGTTCTTTAGAGCAAAAAATGGTGCGATTCGTGAATAAATCGCACCAATTAGAGCCAATAAGGTTACAGGGACCACCAGTGATTTCAAAGTGGTGTAATAAAAATCAAAACTTTACCTTGCAGAAATATCTCAATAGATATGATCTGCACATCATGGAAGCTTTGAAAATTTTACTGCTCGAACATTGACTTAAGCCGAAAAAAGCCGCTTAATTTGTGAAGCAAGCAAGCCGCGAAATACTTGAGTTTTTCAACAGGAACGGGGGATTAGTGGTATGGCGAAATATCCTAAAACGCAGAGTGCCTTGTTGTGTGATACAAAATTCTCAAAATATGGAATTGCAATAAAAAAAGAAAATCATTCATGATTAACAGACGAAATGAAAAGAAGCATAGGTAAAGATTGTTGGGGTCCAGAGGAGTTTGACGTGGGTCGTGGGTCGTGGGTACAAGTCGTGGGTCGTGGGTGTGGGTGTGGGTAAAAGTCGTGGGTGTGATTAATACTTAACAATAACAATAATCATTTAAAATACTAGTTATAATAATACACAAATATTATAAAATCCTTGTCATTGTATCAGCTCGGTTTAGTGAGCCTAATATTTCATTGATTTCATCCAACAGAATTAATTCATTTCACCCAAAAAGAAAAGTGAAACCAAAGACTAAGCCATTATTTGCAGGATGATGTAATCTCTTAAAATGAGGGTCATTCCAAAGAGTTTGAGGAGTTTTGTTCAGGTCAAACGCTTGATCAACACACAAAAAAATTATCTAACACTGTAAAGAGAGAAGTGTTAAACAACGTTTTTAGAACATGAAAGAAGCTTCGAGGATCAGAAACACGGCTATTGGCCGTGTTCTTGAATTAAAATGAAATTGTGCTCTCAGTGCCGGTTAAAAATGAATGAAGTTTCAAAAGTAAAAGTATATCCCTCTGCTGGTCAGGGAAAATAAAGCTTGTGTTGATCAATGACATTCAGACAAAGAGCCGAATGCCTCATCAATTGTCATCTCCGTATCGCGTACCATCTACCCTGCATCTAAGAAAAAAAAAATCAAGTGAAACAGCGAACTGTTGCAAGATAAGCCGATATATAGATAGCAACGTTGCAACGTTAGTTGCAGGTCTGGAGATATTGGCTCCAAAGTTTTTCCAAGGCACGAAAATATAAAACCTCTGGTATCCAGTGTGCGGTACAATCGGGAACCGGAAATCGCAAGCCAATGTTAAATTGGTCACGACAACTGGCATCGGCGACAAGAAATTAAACGAAGAACCAATTAGTACAATCTTAAAATTTTTCTCCGTCCATTTAACTGGCCAGGTCCTTTTCTAAATCATAAAATAAACGAGATATGAAGGATTATTGAAATAAGTAAATTAATAAATGAAGAGGTTCTAATAATTTCAATTTTTAAACGATTCATTTCTTATCTGACAAAGACCAGACTCTGCAGAGTTGCGAAATGTGACGTACTCAAGAAACATACGTTTCATTGTTCGTCGAGAAGTATTGCATTACTTCACGGTAACTACTGACAGTCATGTTTCACGTCTTGTTTTGAGACACTTACAGGATAAATTTTTGGAAAAGAAGAGTAACAACGGTTCAAGTCACGTTTCGCGAAAAAAAGCCAGTCATTTCGCAATTTCCATGAAGAAAAGCCGATTCAACGTTCACGGCGATATAACCAAATCACGTTTAAAACCAGCCAAAGGGCCCTTCACAATCACGATAAAACCCTTTTCCCCTACAAAAATAACATTAGCAGTGTGCTATTAACATTATTAAATATGAGCTCTTAACCATTAATTGTTATGTATTACCCACACCCACACCCACGACCCACCACTTGTACCCACTACCCACGACCCATAGTCTCCCCTCGCAGCCGTTCTTTGTCTCGGGATCCCTGTTGTTGGGGAGGGAGACACAGGGATCCCGAAACAAAGAACGGCTGCGAGAGGAGACTACACGATCCACGACCATTAGTCAAGCTCGGTCCAGAGTATTGAGGAACCATGAGGCTTTGGACCGAGCTAGCCCCTTTAAATTTATATCATATTACTATAATTGTTATTATTGTTAATATTAGTATCTGTTACGATATAATCAATGCTTGAATGTCAATCAGGCAATAAATTCTTGAATCATCTTTCTCTTGTGGGACAGGGTACTCATAAATATGTGGGATGTGGCAGGAATTTCTGTTTTGTATGTGAGAGATCTGTTCTGCAACATTACCTTCGAGCATCATTATAGAACCTCTAGCTCTTTTTGATGTTATAAAATTTGTGCGATATCAGAAGCCACATACAGTCTTTAACCGTCCATTTTAGACTTAAGAAACTAAACAACGAAAAACTGCTTAGATAGAGTGCTAAGGAATTGAAGGCATTTTTGCACGGGCAGTGTCCATTGCAGTCCGCGGTGGGTCTTCTCTTCGCTGAAACGATAAACGTTATCTGCTTGTCGTGCACCCCATAGCGAGAGATAACCATGCATTAATGTTCACAAGCTGTAACTAGGTGCACGCCAGAAAAAGTCCATCAATTACGACACAGGATATTTCAATTCTTCTTGATAATTGTCAGTTATTGACAGCTAACTCTTTATCAATCCCAGGCGATCCGCCAAAGTGTCTGAGGTTTTCGCTATTAGTATGGTGTTGTACAGATTTCATACATGCTTTGATTTCTGGATATTCTAAATTTGTAGCATTTGATGCTTAACGATCAGTCCTTAGCTAATAACGGAAAGTCTTGGGAGGACTGACTAAACACGTTACCATAATCTGGGTAAATAGAAAGGTTTTAACTCGTAAATGTAAAATTGTGGAATTTGAGCGCCAGCATTTCCGGGATCTAATTGCTTTTGAGCTGATAAAAATTGCAATTATCAGTGCTAGTAAAGTAACAATGCATTAGAATCGAGAAAGAAATTAGGATTTTGATGCTGTAAAGATAATGATGTAGTCTGTTTAAAGCTTGTCATAAGACACTTTTCTTATGGCAAATGACATGAAGTTGCTTAGTTACATTATCTAATTATGTTTATTGCTGTTTGCTAAAAGTGTTTCATGCCGGGGTAAGACTCGACATTGCACGGCGTGAAATGTGCTGCACGTCAGAATGATCATTGGTTAGGTCAGGACCTTGGCGTAATCCAAGTATGTCACAAATAATTTTCACTCAAATTTGATTTTCACTCAAAACTCCTTGGTCAATTAGAACAAGTCCATTGATCTCAATGAGATTTTATAGTTGAGTGTGAAGATCGGCAACAAAGTTGTGATCAAAATGGGTGGGGTTAGCACGATGACGCTGCAGGTGAAACAAAAGGATAATTGGCTTGAAAAATTGAACAAGAAAGTCTATGCCGACAGCTATCGGTGAATATCATCTGTACGGTGATCTTTGTACTGATGACATAGAAGATATATCATGATGATGATGGTAATAGCGTCATTTGGTTAACAAAGGCAAGGAGAATCCAAAAACTACTTGCGATGTACAAAGAAAAGTCACTAGACCAAACCTGGGACTATATCAGTTGATAAATAGGCAAACTTTGCCTGCGATTGGAAAAAAGGAAAAGAAGAAATTGGTATGATTGTCACTGAGCAAGGTTTGGAGTACCTTTTAGAAATAGTATAATAAGCTCATTTTTTCTTGAGAGTTTCTTCCGCGTCTCTATTAGTACTAGTCACAGTGGAACTTTTGGCGAGTAATATCTGTTATAGCTGTTTTCTATCATCACTTAATAATTATGGGTTCAGGAATCACGACCACTTATGACCACTAATACTATTTGAGATCAGTTTTTCTTTCCTTTTCCGATCAGGAGCCAACGAGAATATCAGATGTCAAGTCTGATGGCGCCTGGGCGCGGGCTATGACCAAACCCAAATCAAGGACCGCCAACTTCTTTTGGTGAAAAACGCAGATAAAAGTAAATCGTATTGTGGCAAAAGAAGCCGATTTATGTACTCTAACTTTTCTTAGACTGACAATTTGTGAAGGACTTTATCCAACTCAAGTTTCATCAACCTAGTACCCTTGCCTAACGTTTTCAGGTCATCTGTTTTCTTTTCTACATTTCATTCTATTTATTCAATTTTATCTATTAAAGCGAGGACTCAAAAAGTGTAACAGTAGAATGTAGGAGCTGAGTTTGTGTCCAAGTATGCAGATCATGATTTGCAAATGAAAAAGCTTATCATAATCCTAGTTTTCCCCCTTTCTTAATTTTCCTTAGAACTGTCGAGTACCGTAACGAAGGTATTTTAATTTTCAATGTTGTTTGCGTGCAGAAATTTACTTTTCGTCCATGAATTTGTAATTTGTGAGTATGGCATATCAAAGAACTGTGTTTCCTGTCGCTGTTTACCACGCGACATGTAATTGTCAACAACAGCGCCGCCCTAAGAGGCACGAATTCAATAACGACGGATAATCCTTGAAGCATGCCATGAACTAATGAAAGCTCTTCAACATAAACACTTGAGGGCTGTAGTATTCTGTGATTCTAGTAAAACGAAAACAGTCAGTTATTCCCTGACTGTTCTGTGACAAACTCATAGGTGTCTACTGTAGTCCAGTTCTAAGAAAGCGATGTATTTAGTTTAATCGGCTCAACTGAGCTATTTTTGTATATTTAGATCACGAGAAATAATAGCTCAGCTAATCGGATAATCCTTCCGCTCAATTCCCGCAGAAGGACCTCTTATACAGCCAGGTGACTCATCGTTTTTTGCTCTTAATACTGAGAACAGATAGCGCCATCAAATATTCTGCACGAAGAGCGCCATTTTAACTTGCACCTCTTTTTATTTGGCTGAGGGCTTCTTGGCCGTGCTGACTCTTACTTTGTTTCGCAACGTTATGACTCACATCGGCAAGTTAAATTGGCAGTGAATAAGTCATTGTAAAAAAGAACTCATATTCAGTTGCCTATATTTACTATTTCACTGAGTTTGCTGGAAATATTAAGTTACCAGAAGTTTCATCACACCCACATCATTACTTGAACTTAAATTACTTCATTCATCTGCAACCTTATTTATGTCTGGAGTTAAATTAAAAAACATATAGCATTCATTAACACTAAGGAGCTCACTCGAGAAGTGAATTAATGAATAAGTGTGTCCTTTCAATGAGTACATGCGTGAGATCGAAGCCAGTATTTGTAATGTTCTGTTTTTAATGTAACCGCATTAAGTGTTCGTTTACAAAACAAGTTCGAAAAAGGAAATACAGAAAAAAGAGTCTTATTTCGTTCATTATTGAGATTTTGGACTTTCTGTATCAATACTTTGCTTCCCTACAATGCTTTGCAGCAAGTATTTTAAATTTAAGTATAGCTTCAAAAATATGTTGTTGACGTGCTTGCCAGAACAGGCTGAGCTTACATTGCACTCTTCAGGCCAGTACAATGCTTGAAAAGCACAGAATTTCATATACGTCCTGCTACAGAACCCGGCGGAGAGGTCAAAGTACAACAATTTGGATAACAGTTCGAACACTGAATGAGGCATCTAAATTTAGAGCCACGAGGTCCAAGAGGGGCTTTTAGCTTAACATGGCTAAATCAATTAACACCAGTTCAAGTGAAATACCTGTCTGCCACGCCACAATTTGGTTTATTACACTATGAACGTATCTCGTTGAAACAAGTCTGTATATACGTATAGGCACGGGAGCTTGCTGCAGGCGCTGACAATTCGTCATTATAGGAACTTGTTCCCGACAAATTTTGGTGACAGTTCTTGTTTGTTTGAGATACTGTTGTGGCCACTTGATCTTGCATTTCCTTTCTCCATTTTGTTCTTCTATTTTGGAACCACGTTTTAACTTGAGTTTCTGTAAGACCCAACTCTGTGGAAAGCTCTGCACGCTTGCTCTCAGAGATGTAACGACGCTTTGTAAATTCCCTTTCCATCGTTTGTACCTGGTTTTGGGAAAATAGCGGACGCTGCTTCTTCTTTCTAGAGAAACTTCTACGTCTTGGAAGATTTATATATGGAGAAAAACCTGCCAAAGGAATAGCGCATGTTTCCAGTTCTGTATGTTTTTAAATTAATGTGACAGGCAAGGGAAAAAATGAAAGAAGTCCAAGGGGGTAAGATTGTAATTCCCAAAATTGTTTCTACCTTAATTATACCCAGTATAAGAAGAATTTCAGTTTTCATCGAGTCTTTATTATCTTGCCAGTTGGGAGAAGCACCATAGACTGTTTGAGAGCTCAATAAAAACCGAATTGATTCCCAAAATTTGATTTGGTTTATTATAATTGTGCACACTTCTTAAATGTCTGTCTACACTTTGCTTTAGAGGTCACATCTTATGCAGTCTTCGTGTGTTTATTTCTTTTCTTTTCCGTTCTCTATTTGCAATAAAATTACCAAGTCTTGCAACTCGGCTCCGCAATTGGAAACTTTTTCAAACAACGGTGTTTCCATTTCAAAGAAATATTTCTGTTAGTACTTTCTCGGCCGACAGATTTTAAAGCCTATTGCATTCAACGAAAATACGAATCTTAGAATTTTGTTATGGCTTTGGCTGTAATCTAGATATATTTAGTTGTATGAACAAAAACTCGTGAAGGTGCCTATTGTAAACAAGTTGATTCTTTTTTAAATGTTCAACGCTAATGCTACAAGAATAGGTTGGTGAATGAGACTAAATTATTTGTCAGGGTGTATTACAAAATTCAGAAGGAAAGGATGTCAAACGCTTCCGTGTGCGTAGCGCCGCAATTAGGCAACTCAAAATATTGCGCGTGTACACAACAAATGTAACGATCTGCAGCCACTCTATAGCATTATCTGGAAGAGCTTCTGTACATAAGAGTGTTCAAGGCCCAAGTTCCAGTACAACCACAACGCAATGGGCTTGAATATCAATGGTTTCAACACCTTGGAATTTTGACAAGTAATAATTCAAACATGAAAACTTGCCAAACTGTGAGCAAACCGCTTTTATGGCCACTCACTCGGAAGTTAATAGTAAAAGAAAACCAGCTTCGCGCGGGTAAATTCAGCGTTCAAATCATAATGTACGGACAAGAAAATAAAATAATTTCCTTTTGTTAGCGTTATGAAGAAAAAAATCGAAGGATTTACCCTTCAATCCTAAAGAGTGATAGTTGCTAATTCTAGGAAAATAATTCCTGATCAAGTATCGATTGTTTCGTTTCTACTTTAAAGCGGAATTTTTGTCAATTCACTTGAATAAATCGAGAATCTTTGGCCAAGGTGTTTTCATCTGCAGACAACTGTTGCTTAACATCGCTTGCATCGACGAAATAAGCAGAAACGTCAGTCATCCTCCCCTTCAACTTAACAACCATTAGTAGAGAATGCAAACTGCTGAAAAAAACTGTCGCAAAATCGAACCAAAAATTCTCACGACTCATTTCTTGTTTGCTCGCTTCTGTTTATAACAACAAAATTCCAGAGAAGGAAAGCTCTCTACAGTCTAAAATCCAACTTCGCAACAATATTCATCAAGTTAACACGAAGCAGTAACTTTGCACTTACCATGGAAGTGTTCATAACTTTGCATAAAACTTGTGTTGCAAATCCACGTGGGAAAGTTGGCCTGTGCAGTGGGATCTGCTGACCAATTTAAACTGATGCCACTCAGTGGAGAGCCCAGACCAGCGTAAGGATACCGCATTAATGGCGGCGGATTCATGGCGTAAGTGATTGGAGTCACGATGGGTCTTATAATGGAAACTTTTGCATCTTCGATTTCTTCTCCTGATACTCTCGGAAACGCAGTCAAGGCTCTTTCATCTTGGAGGTTAAGAATGTTCTTTATGGAAAACGAACTTCTTCTCGGGGCCTGAAAATAGACATCTCTGTTTGCTAAGTCCATGTCGTAGCTTGCCAAAACAAGGGTTACTTGGGCGGTCAATCTGAGATAATGTGCACCCCGAGTCAAGGTATTCTCTCTAAATATGTTGCGGACTTGACGCCTGCGTACTAACGTCTAATTAATCACATCAATCAGTGTTAGGAAAACTTAATTGTGTAGCGGCACACTTAGAGAATCATGTCATCTTCTTTTTAAACTGGTTTGAGTGACGACTAAAAGCTGTTCGGAGAATTCCAAATGATTGAAGTCAACATTTTCAACCCGCAGTATTTATATTCTTTTCGAAAACTGCTGACCACTCAGGTAAATTTAGGCTGGAAGCGTCTGTCCCCGTTTGCTTCCGGTTATCGTAATTTCCGGTATGAAGAGGCTAGATGCACAAAATCTGTATAATCTAATATAACGACCGGAAGTGGCGGAGAAATAAACATCTCTTTAGCGCTAGAAACATATTTCACACATTCGCCTGAGAGAGCTGATTTGTAGCTGGCAGCTAATATCCAACTTATCAATCACAAGTTAAAAAGAATCTTATCATCTTCTTTTGTACTCAATTAAAACGAAAAAGCTGCCGCGTAAAAGTATGTGATTGCAATAATTCGACCTTAATTGGCCAGATTTTTAAATTTACACTTGAGGATTTCCTAAAGTTTAGTTTTCCGATTTTTTGTCAACGCGTCAAGTAATATAATACAGTTGCGTATGGTTAAATAGTTTCTGTAGAATGACTAGGCACGAAAATCACATTTCCTTATATTTGAAAAAATATCTTATTTTGATGAATTTCTCTACTTGTTAAGAGTCTCAGCTTGATACTAAGCTGATGGCCCATAATAAAAGCAACGCAGTGATTGGAATTTAATCCACTTTATGATACCTAGACGGGCTTATCGTTTAGTGGAGACAGACAGTGCGCAAGGGATAGGCCGGTCGGCCTATGCGGAACACGACTGGAGGAAGGCTTATAAGTCTTCACTGAATTACGTCAATAGAACAAATCCAACCTCGACACAAAAATGTTGTTTTTTCAGCCTTTTTTTACCTTGGTTCCACATCAAGACTTAGTTTCTTTACAAGAGAGCTTTAATCGTTTCCCATCCTACAGTCATGGATTCTGGGGCAAACCAAACAAATTAAAAAAAAAAAATGGTAAAAAAAATTCAAAATAAACAGCTGGCAAAGTTTAATGCATTGTTATATGCGTACAGTGACATTACTTTCCATGCTTTTAGCGTCTTTCCTCCTTACAGAGTCACGCCTTCCTTGACTCGGTAAGAGGTAATTACCAGCTTATTTCTGGAATTGCTGACGTCCTTTGAAAACCACATACTGTGAAAGAAGGCGGAGAAAGGCGGCAAAGGGAGGGCCTTGGGAGGAATTTTGAAGTACACACCACTAAATAGATTAACGTTTCATCCCTTGGACAGCTTCACGAAAATTCCTGTCTATGAGCACTGACAGATGCATTTCCAGTTATATGTAAGCTGTTGCTAAAATTTTAAATCTAGCTTACAACAAATCGATAGCAGGATGGCGTTACTGATTGATGTAATATGGAACTGTAACTCTTTCATATGTTATTCTACATCGACCTATTCGGCTCATTATCCTTCAAATTTTTCCGTTTTTGTTATTCAAAGGGATTTCTGGAAAACGAATTTCAATGAGTTATATCCTGAATTCAGCCTCTGAAGACAAACAGTCCTTTGAAATCCCAAAAAAGAAGATTAGGGAACCAAACACTCCTTATAAAATTAACACAAAAACGTTTTGATGCGATCGATCTGTGATCTGGAAGGCTGAAAAACGTCCGCCAAATGGTGCGAATGTTGCCGTCCTCAGTAAACTGATCTAAATAGTTAACAATAACGGACAGCCCAACATTTGTTGTCAGACACCATCTGATAGGAAGCTAATCCAGTGGAGTGCTGGGACAAGGAATGAAATCCGTCGTTGATGGTACACCTTCACCAGCCATTGCAGACTTTGATTAGTTGTCGGCTGACACTGTGAGAAAGTGCGACAAATTTTTTCACCAGGTCAATCAAACTCATGTTGATTGAAAGGTTTTAAATGCAATTCTTAGTTTGTTTTACACTTTGGTCGAGTATTTTGAATGTGAACTTCTCGTAGTGTTTCCCTTCTTAAATTTTGCCTGTTCCACGCTCTCTATGAAATTGTGCTACCCCGTGATATGCCTTTGAATACAATTACAAATTCTGAAATCTATTTGTGATTTGGATATATCAACAAAGTTGAAATGGTAAATTGGCCACTGTAATGATTACAAAAGCTGACGTTTCGAGCGTTAGCCCTTCGTCGGAGCGACGAAGGACTAACGCTCGAAACGTCAGCTTTTGTAATCGTTACGGTGGCTAATTTACCATTTCAACTTTGTTGAATTTGTTGAATTATTTCGTTACTCCCACCGACGCAGCCCCAAA